GTATACATTTTTGCATATTTTTGAAGCGTGAAAAGCTCAATTTATTGATTGTAATCAAATACGATAATAAAAAGGAGTACGGCAATTAAAATGAATTGGGGTAATAGAAGTGATAAAAACAAACTGAATATGCACATATAGAACAAAAGCATTTTACCTAATATTTACAGCAACATTGTACCTCTGTCTACCGAATACGAATATCTGTGTTATTCCTATACCTCGACTGCCATCATGAAATGTATTCTCAGCTGTACATGTGTAACTACCATGACAACATTTCCACACAACCGCACTTACATTGTACATCAACATTTAGGTGTGTTGTTCCTATACCTCGACTGCCATCATAACATGTATTCTTAGCTGTACATGTATAACTACCATGACAACATTTCCACACAATTCTACTTACATTGTACATCAACATTTAGCTGTGTTGTTCCTATACCTCGACTGCCATCATAAAATGTATTCCTAGCTGTACATGTATAACTACCATGAATTGATCGCTTTATATCATATAATGATATCGTATTCCCATTCACAGTAAACCAGCCAAGCCCAATCCATGAGTAACTTTCAACAACTGGATGACTGTCATCAACAACACATGTAGGTCTTATTTTAACATATTGTCCGCAGGATACTTAAACATATTTTGAACAAATGAATCAATTGTTATTAAAAATATGTTTAATCATTGATAGAAAGAAAAGAAAATGAAATACTTTGGTAATGCCCACAAGAACCGCATGGCTGTCAAACAGTAAAAGAAAAATGTCCACATGAAAGAATATTGATGTTGAACTAGTAACAAATTTAACAGTATAGATTTTTACATATTTTTTAATCGTGGAAATGCATAATTTATTGATTTTAATCAAATACAAAAATAAAAAATATGTTGGCAATTAAAATGAATCAGGATGATAGAACTGATAAACGCAAATTGAATACACACATATACAACTAATGCATTTTACCTGATATTCACAACAACATTGTACATAAACATATATCTATGTTGTTACTACACCTTGATTGCCATCATAAAATGTATTCCTAGCTGTACATGTACAACTACCATGACAACATTTTCATACAACTGTACTTACATTGTACATCAACATTTAGCTGTGTTGTTCTTATACCTCGACTGCCATCATAAAATGTATTCCTAGCTGTACATGTATAACTACCATGTCTTGTTCGCCTTATATTAAATAATGATATCATATTCCCATTTGCAGTAAATCCACCGGAACTACTCCATGAGTAACTGTCAACAGCTGGATGACTGTCATCAACAACACATGTAGCAACAAAGTCATCGTTTTCCTTTATCTGCCCTTGATTATTACCACTTTGAATACTGACACTGATAACAGGGTCATCTAGAAATAATAAAAATATTGTATCATTGATTATTTGAATAATTACAATCAAACTGAAAGAAACGCTTGTCAAATGATATAAACATATTGCTGAATTCAATAACAACAACAATAATCACTTACATTCAACATCAAATTGCATTACAGACTGACAGGATATATCATTGGTTAGTGTACTGTGTTGTAAACTGCATTTGTATAACTTTCCATCATCATTTCTTTCTATTGCAGTATTCCACAGTATTGTAGTTTGGCTTGTTGTTCCTGTATATTGTACAACCCCATCTCGTAACCATGCCAACACAGCTGGGGGTACACCTTGAGTTGCAGAACATTGTAATGATACAGTATCACCATCTATTACTTATTTGCCTACAACACTTCCAGTCACAGAGCAACTTGGTACCGTATCTGAAAAATTAATTCATTTACAAGAGACTATAAACGGCAAGCAGAACATGCTATTCATTCCAGTGAGTGTTCATATACGTTACTAAATACCCAGATATACGCTATTAAATATATGTTTATATTGTGTAGCAGATTTTTTTTAATTTTCTTCTTTTTTCAGTGCGAAATAGCCCTATGTT